TGGGAACAATTCAGTAGACATATCCAGTGTATTTATTCTTACAGTTTATCTGGACAGAAATCCAGTTTCTAGAAGACGGGGTTGGATGTTTTCTTTTGATGATTGAGAGTTTTGTCCGTGATGCCCTAGTTGGCTGGGTATGAGTTGAGGGGTCAAAGGTCATGTCAGACTTGATAAAATCATGCTGTTTTAGATGTTTAAGCAGCTCTTTTTTTAATTCTCAAGCTGATTTCACCTGCTGCCTGCACATATTTAGTTCAGTGTTTACCTATGTGTTAACATAAACGGTACCCCTTTGGAGCTCTGTTAGTCACCTCTTCTTCTTCTGCAGTGGTCTAATGACAGTGACTGGAGACTTAGCTCCACCAACTGTTGACCAGATGTGAACAAAGACTGCATTGATGGTTTGTATGAATCCAGCTGCTGGTGTTTGAGTGAACTGTGAACATGTAGAAAACACTATCATGTAATGGTAAAGGTCCCACATAACTGGGACCATGAGCCACCAGTATGTGTTTAGGGGGTCTTCTGTTGTTTCTCTCTGAGTCCCCCTCTTTTTTCCACTGTGTCCTTCATATTCAAACAGTGTAATTGGGTGATTTACCTTGTTTTCAGTTGTCTCCTCCTCCTGATAAATCAGCAGCTCTAATGGAGACCACCAGCTCCGACTGGGGGTTGGATGAGGGTGGGGGTGGGCGGGCGGTGTAGGCTGCCTGCAAGCCACAGCAGAGGAAGATTTAGATTTGTAACAGAGGAAACGCATATGGGGTCAGGTATGATGTTTGACACCTGGACATCAAGCCTGTTGACGTATGTGGTCACTAGCAGCTACTGACGTGGTGAGACACAAGCAAACACATTTTACCAGTGATGGGAGAAGTGCTTGGGTTCTTTAGTGAAAGCAGAAATGCCACAGTGTAGGAGAGGCTGCACGTTAAAGTCCTGCATTCAAAATGTTACTTCATTAAGTACAAAAGTATTACACTTGAAAAAACTTAAAAACTCATATTTACAATGCAGTTTCACAGTGTTAAACATGACAATGCAACCTACTGAACCTCCTGGTAGGTGGCGGCACGACTGGTTCCATAGTGATAATTGAATGGTGTGATCACGTGAGGCAGTGTTAAGGGGCTAGAGGATGCATCATATCAGTGTCTTCACAACTGTAGGACAGATGTGTGTGTAAACAATAGAGTTGAATTTCATGTTTGAATGACCTTTAGAAAGTCCTTGTGCCTGTTTGTGTCCTTGTTGAGACCGTGCTCATCAAAGACGGTTTGTGGAAGTCCCTCTGATGTTGGCGTGGTTTTTGCTTTAAAAAGCAGTTTTGCTTTTATTTTATAGAGAAGACAAAGTGACTAGAACTACAGGTCCCCTGTTGGTCAGTGCAATGCAGCGGTCCCCTGATGGTAAGATAGGGATGTGTGTGTGGTCTGGATTCTTTCTGAGTCCGAGTGCAGCTGAAGTATCGCTGGATGATGAGGAGCGTGCTGAAGTGCCACCGCCGCCGCTCTGCATTTTAAAGGCACGCGCAGCCATTAATCCATGGCTGCAGATTATTGCTGCTGCAGCTCAGTCAGCGGCTGAACTGCAAGACCCTCAGCAGCACGACAAGGAGGCCGGTCGCTCCTTCAGAGGTTTGCTTCACTTTAGCAAAGTAAGGAATGACTGTCAGTGCCATATGAAGACTTGCACCTGACTATTCAGTCAGTTTATGGGTAGCAGTTGTAATGTGTTTCATTCTTCTCTGTTGTCCGTGATCTATCCTGTGTGACAGATAAAGTCAGAGAAAGTTGATTTGTGAGAGATATCAACCAGGAACGTGTCCTCGCTCTAACATGTATCTGGCTGCTGGTCGGTGCAGTTTGCATCACCGAAGGAGAATTATGGAGGTGAATGACTACTGATAACATCCAATGAATGGTGTGATAACCCTGGAAGTGGGTGTGTTTCACGATGTGGACGTGGTCCCTCGAGGAAGGCTCCTAAACATTAAAAACACATCAGTGCCTGACAGGTGTTTCCTTTAGTGTGTTTACCACACTGCCATCAGTGAAGCTAAAAACCAGTAAAACATGAACCATCACCTCTGTGAAACAATCTGAACCCAAACCGAATGTTTTCACCTGCAGGACAGAGGATTAGACTGACTCAGTCTGAGACGGATGTCAGTTTATTAGGTATACCTAATAAACTAAGGACGGAGGGTTGTTCAGCAGATACAGTGGCAGTAGTAAATTAGAGCTAAGTTTATTACTCAAGTGTTTTACATAAGAACATATATTTAT